ATAATTGATGCACACTATAGCATGCTTCCAAGACGCGAGCTGAAATTTGTTACAGTATATGCTGTAAGTTTTTTTTTTCAAATTTTATGCTTTTTCTTCATCTTTACTTGAGTTGCCTAAGCTAACGGCACATGAATCTTTTAGACCGCTCTAGTATTATCCACATACATTGCATTTCAGGACTCTCTCATTATTGTCAAAGGTGCAGATCATTCCGAGGAAAGAGATAAGCCACACTGTATTTGTTCTCTTGAAGAAAGTGGGAATGAGTTGGCATTTGCAGACGTAGATATGTTTAGGATAGATATGGTGCGCACTTTCATATAATTTCTCACTGTTCCAAACTTTGCTTTTAATATTTGCATTCCAGATAACATTAACCGATGAAAAGAGCACGACATGGTCATCATTCTTCCGAACATTTCACACGAAAGTGTCTTCACTCCATTTCAACATTACCGTAGTCACCACATGGGCGCTGTTGAATATAGTCGAGTCTTTATGTCCTAAGTCATTAACGATCGAATTCGAAATGACTGAAGGGCCTTTACGGGTACCTCGACTTTGTCAGCATCGTGCTGTGCAGAAGGTAAGGTTTACTCAGCGTATTTTCTTCTCTGCTGTTTTTATGACTTTAACAAAGTAGGAATTCATTTACAGTTTCTCATCTTCATGTTCTAGGCATCTATAAGATGCGCATATGTTTCTCATAACTCTCTTAGATCAATCAAGTTTCCTACATATTTTAGGTTTCCTCGTTGACCCTGTTGAATTCGAATATCTTTGACGAGTGCCTTGATGCGATTCGAATACCCACTTTACATCTACAGGGTGACACAGAAATCACTGGATTTGGACTTCAGCATGTATTGGCGGTTAGTACTAGTCAAATGCAAATTCTTTTGGAGTTTTTCATTTTTTGTCGTTCATTTTCACTGATTTTTGGCAGAGGGTATTCTATTTATCAGTAATCAAATGAGATAGAAATTCCAATGAAAATCGCTATTTCGATGTCAAAGTAGTCAAGATTTTGATGTTGAATTAATAATATCTTTGTATGCACTATCGCTCATCCCATTAAGGTCATACATAGACTTGGAAATTCAATTTTTTTTTTTGAAAAACACTTCTCACCTTTTTCTTTAGGAGTGGTTGACTGGAAAACGAGCAATAAAAATCTACGAGATTACAGCAAGAGGCTTCGTCTCCCCTTCACATTTATTTCACAATATCCCAGCTGAACACGTGAAAGATACGGACAACTGGCTGATTCAAAGAGGAAAAGACGTCTTGTGCGTAACCGCTACTGGGCACAAAGTTAGCATGACATTGCAATCTAATCAATAATTATCATATGTTTGTAATATGTATTCCACTAGCTTAGGCACTGATCATCCTACAAATGTTATAATATCTATTTATCTTTGTTACAGGTTTCATTTTACAGGCAGCTGTTGTCATTCCTTTCGTGTACGTAGATCTCGATAATGTTTCTTTTATGAGAGTCATTCAAGTAAACACACTTTATGTAATTCTGTACTGAGTTGATGTAAACACGGGCTAGAACCTCAGACTTTTTCGTATTAAAAATTTTTCAACAGTTTTTAAAGTTTGGTCAACAAGCCTTGGATGTGTATTCTCTATAATATTGATAATTGCATTGTTTTGGAACTTATTTCACAAACTCAAGATAAGCAAAGTTTAACTTAAATATTCATATAAATGCCTTCTCTTGTAAAACATCGTCTTGCGAGTCATCTTTGCATCAAAGGGTTTTTTTTGAGAAACTCTTAATTCTATTTCAGGCCGGGATTTTATAGTAACGTGATAAGATATACGATCATCTCATACTAATAAATTTGCTTCGTTTGTATAGCTCAACAATGTAGGGAATGCTAAATAGGCTAATTGTTAGTTGTAACTGAACGTTAATCTTTTTTTTACAACTGCAATCTCTTCCTCTTCTTGCAAATATCTTAAGAGACGCGTGAGACGAGCCCCAACTGGCAAGGTGCCAATAGAATGGTTGATTTCTGCTAACTCCACAAACGCTTTTCTTAGGGCTAAGGACTGTTCTGAAAAAAATTCTTCTGTTTCCATTTTGTTCAAACGAGGTTTTATTATAAATGAAAATGCTAGGAGAACCTTAAATTTTCAATACTTTTTATCGCAAAGGTGATCACAAAATTACGGAAAAGCTACGACAGAACTTTTTGTTGATTCAGGAGAGGATAGTAGAAAATTCTTGCTTTTTTTGACTTAGTTTGTAAATACTAACAAAACCATTTTTATAATCACCTTTTGTGACCATAAATGGTTGTATCTTCGAACCTAAGACTCACAACTCTCCTCTTGTGCTATTCGTTTTGCATAGACCAGTCAGCAAATGTTTACGTAAGTCAGTTTTAAAGTTGTATAGCACTTTACCAAAATTTAATGACAGCTTGAGAATTATCTACGTTTGCCTGAGAAAAACAGCAAAACTCCGTTTTCAGTATGACACCAGGTGTGAAGCGAAAATCGGATGAAACATTAGACGGTATCAAAATAGCTAAGATACACAACACTGATGATAAATTGATGAATCTCGATGTTACATCCACTTTTTGCAAGGTATTACATCTATTTTATTTGAAAAATTGTGAAAATAGACTTACCAGTTTGAACATTTCAGAATTGGTTCCGTGATGCAAAATCCGTCCTAATCCTCGGTGACGGCAATCTCAGTTTTTCGTTGGCTGTAGCGGAATGTGCAACGGATATTCCCATAACCGCAACGGTTTTGGACTCAGAGAATGATTTCCGCACTCGTTATCCCAGCTGTGCAAATCCAGAAAAGCTCAGGAAGCACGCTAATGTGAACTTGAGGTTTTCTGTCGATGCTACAGCTTTGCCACAAGAGTGGTGGGGTAAATTCCATTACATCATTATGAATTTCCCTCATCCTGGAGGTAAAACAAATCTAAGAAAAAGTCGACAATTAGCCAGCGCAATTTTTCGTGGAGTAAATAGGATAATGACTAAAGAGACGAAATTCTATCTCGCTCTTGCTAAAGGTCAAGCTGGAGTGGAACAGAGTGAA